TGTGTATGTGTGTGTATGCGTGTATACAGCAGCAAGTTAAATTTGGGATGTAGAATGAGATTGCGAAATTTATAATCTAAAACGAGAGTGTAAAGCATCCATAACGAAACATATACACATCTTGAACATATGTGCATACACATATACACACAAACATATTTTATCTTTGATAATGTTGGAAAATCACATTACACGATCTATATAAGTATATATGTATTAACTGGTACATAGCAAATACTGCACAAGCGAGGTTAAGTGAATAAAAGCGACTGCATGCTAATTTTAAATTAAGCCAGGTAAACCAGTACAGTTTTCCTCTTAAAGACCAAGCCAGAGAATACTTGTATGCACGTTACATGTGGTTTATATTCTGGTTTAAAATTCTGTACCTCATGTTATGTCATATGTCTCTTAAAATCCTGTCTATACGAAATATATAGTAACTATATACAACTGCTTCTAATTACTCATTCAATTTGTACATTTTGGTAAAATTCACTTATTTACAAATCGATCAAAGTGAATACTTATGAGTGTATATTATACATGCATAGAAACATAAATAAGCATAAAAAATTCTACCACAATAAGAAAAAGCAAAATTAATTAGTACACCGCTTATAGTGCCTCGCATTAATATTGTAATACCACCGGCAATTATTATTGTACATACTTTATAATAGTACCAAATCTAAAAAAAATATTGTGGATTTATCATCTATTTTCATCTATTTTTGAATTCGTCAGGTTCTACCCTTTATAAAAATAATTTTTTTCAACTACCAGGTGACCTAAAAGTTATAAAATTCTTAAAAATGGACATGTCAAATCTTCCCCGTGTAATTTTCATATCAATGTAAGCCTTAAAACCTCATAACGACTGGTATTTAAATCTAGTGACATATAACTCACGGTAGCCAAGAATAAAACTAGTGGAAAGCATCAAAGACACGCCGTCAATAATGCGAAATTCTCGAACGCGAGTCATTTTTCTGCGTCAATGGCACAATAGGTATTGTGGAGTTCATGGCTGGTACAGATTTCACGATAGTTACGTCCGTGCGACACAATACCGTGAACCACGCGCGATACAGACGTACGCACGAGATATGGGAAACCTGTTTGGCCCACCGTGGCGCTTGTGTCGCAATAAATCTCTGACACGTTTGCTCAGCAAAAGAATTTCTCCGACTTTAGCATAAAGTCAACGCGTGTGATATTTTCTACAACATACAGTGGCTCACGAAAACATTCGAATGCTTCTAGAAACTTTTTACGAATGTATCGTATATATTTTATATTGAACATTTCGAAATTTCATTATTATTATAACGATTACATTGATGAAGTTTGAAACAAAACTGAGAATCTATGTAGTAACTATAAGGTATTTATTCCAACTATATACAATATTCCGCAAGGATCACAAAAGTATTTAAACAATTATCCATTGTATTGTTAATAAGCCTTAATATTCAGTAGAACTATTTTTAATTAGTTATTATTACACCATATAACTTATATATTGGAGATTCGTGCTGTATGCTAACTTTTTACCAGATACCTTGCAATAAACGTTACTTATATATACTTTTCTAGATTAGTTCCAAATTTTACCGATATAATCATGGTGTCCTTCTTTCGTTTTAGTGATCATGGACTTTCGAAATGTTTTATATATACATAAAAATTTTCTATGATAAGTAGCCACTCCTTCGATCTTTCATTTTTTGCATTTTTGTCTTTCTTGTATATATCGTAAATGATTACGTGTTCTTGGAAGAGTTGAATAAAAGAGTTGGTGGAGCGTGTAAACGAGAGTATCGGTTCGCGGTCGACTTGTTTTCTTTTTTTTGTTCTTTTGCTCTCATTTTTTCCTCATCGCTCTCGGCCGTCGGACATCGTTTGCGCATAGGCGATATTTATACCTGTGACTTATTCGTTTCACCACTTTCTGGACTTTTTACAACTTCTGACACATTTCAGTTTCTGGCACATTGCATAAGATGCGTGCACCAATTGATGACTTTCTTTGTTCAAGTTCATTCATCGTGAAATCAATTATTGGACTGCGGATTTTTATGCATGTAGGGGAAATTTGAAGACGCACAATTATACAGAGAATGCGTAAAATATAATATGTTATGATATTTTGTAAATAAGAAAATTGCATACGCAGATTCCATTTTTTATTATATTCATAAAAGTATGACTTTTCATAAATATTTACAGTCTATTAATTATACAACTTATATAATTTTCGATTAATTATTCTTATATAGATCTGATTAGCGACAAGAGTGTTTCAAACAAATTCCTATCTATAAATGACATGGATCTTCTACTTAAGGTCCATTATGGGTGGTGGCGCTAGTGGGCTTTCGCGAAACTTTCAAGAGCGTTGATTTCTATCGTTGAAGAACGTTGAAATTTATCTGTCTATTTTTATGTGATTGAATTTTAAACAATATTTTCATATATAAATATATGAATATCTAAGGATAATATAAAAGAAAGATTTTTGAGAAATTTAAAACACTGTTGTCGCTGATATATTAGGGTAACATAAGTAAACCATTATAAATATAGCAGTGATATTGTCGACCACTATTATCTCAAACTGTCATCACTTTTTGTCGCTGCTCATTGTAATTGTAATGACAATAAAAATCATATACTGTGCCGCATCCTTCTCATCATTTCATTTCATACCGCCACCTCTCAAAGTCGTTGCTTCCCGGAACCTCAATATCATTTTAGCAAGTTATTCTTGACCCGGTAGAAATGCTCTTTTTCCTTCCCTTCCGGACATACTCGATGTACGAGGTACATACATAATTATTTTGTATATATTTCATGCATATTGCACTTTTTTTTATATAAACAATATTTACGTTTAGTTTTAAACACACGTATTTAAAAATTAAAACAGATTTACTTAAAACATTTAATTAGTATTCCTTAATAATATTCATAATTTTAATCCTAAATTTTATTATAATATTAATTCATATTTTGAGACTTGGAAATCATGCAATTATAATATGAGAAAGAATTTGAATAATGAATCAAAGTTAATCATAGTTAATTAGTTATTACTTATAAAAAGTAATATATATATAATATGGTTGAAGAATAATAATGGCATATGTTTACTTTACTAAAACATCTTATTTTTTTTAATATTTACTCTACACAACATGCCACTGTCAATGTCACATTGAAGATAAGTCATCCAATATCTGAGAAGTTTAATATAGAGATGGATTAATTGAACAAGGGATGAGGAGAAGAGGGTTAGCCAATAGACGGAAAGGAGGGGGCAGAAACCAAGAATACTTCGGTTAAAAATAATCAGCTCTCTTACTATGGATGGTGAGAAATTTGGGAGCAAGGTCAATCGATAGCAGCGTAACTTCCTAAACATGTGTATTGCTCAGTTTATTTAAATATCCTTGGATCGTTAGCGGATGTGTATTATTTCTTTGAACTCTGAGATGTAACGTAGATAATTTTTTTTTTCACTTGCTAGAAACATTTTATATCTTGTAATGTATCATCGAAGGTTAATTTTGTAAAAAAGAAAGAGAGAGGATAGTGAGCAAAATGTTGAAGTCTTTATATTAAAAATTGAATAATAACAGTTCATTTTTGGATTCTTTCTCATTTATAACTCTGTCAATAAACTGCGGTCAAAGTTCCATCACAGGCTATATAATTTCTTGCTACTAGTTCTTACAATATTGCTAAACTTTGGAAGACAAAATTCCGAATAATTTACATTAAACCGTAAACAAATTTTAAAGTTATTTTACGCAGTATTGTATTTGAATCTACACATTAATGTTCTTGGAAAATACATTAGTAAATACATAATCTCGCTTCATAAAGCACAAGATTTCATTTCAATAAAATGAGTTCTGAATAATCGACAATGATGAAAATATTTTTGAAAATTGGCAAATCTAAAAACTTAAGAAAATGACTAATATCGTAGTAAGGTTAGGATTATCTTTATTATTTTGAATTATAATTTTTTTTGATTTTGAATTATAAAATAATATTCACCTACTTTATACAATAATACATTGATGTTTTTAAACTCATCGTTTATTATTATGTACCTCGTAATCGTCATAAATCGTTATAAAAGCACGTACACGATGGTGCGCTTAAAAAATCCCTAGCATCAGGAAGAAACTGCGTTTCTATTATGGAATCCACCAGCGGAACTGCTTAAAGAAGAGAAGCACGTTTGACGTCAGAAGAAAATCCTTGGCAGAAGATTTTTGCAATTGGCATGTTGGCAGTGTTGTTAGCTGGTTGTGTGGCTATATCGTATATACGACCGCTATCGGCACTGCAATTATGACGATTGCAGATCCGCAACCGTGATTGAAAACACAACTTCAATGATCAGCATCAAATAATGAGGACGAGGATTTAAATCAATATTTTCTAATTATCACATTAGTGTATTTCGATTGAAACATTTTATGTGTGAGGATGAAAAACTGTTTTACTGACCAACATAATAATTTTCAAGTTTATTCTATGTAGATACATATGTACATAAAAAATATGTCTTATTTAATGCTAACTTTAATTCTTCTCAAGTCCAGAAATTTCAAAATCGAGTTAAACAGGAAAACTTAGCTAAATATAATTAATATAACTAGTACAATTAAGTTGAAAAAATTGTAAAACTTAATTTTGTAGACTTAAGAATTTGCTAAATGTAAAATTACATAAAAGTTTATTTCTCGAAGGCCATCATGGTTGAAAGTTCATCTCATTTTTTAATGAAGAATTTAATTTAAACATTTCAAATTCAATGAAATAAATCCCTCGATACAATATAGCAATATAAAATTGTTTTTCCGGTGATCAGGAGGGTAAAGTCAAACGAAAAGCCAGCATTCGGTTTCTAAACAAATATATGTAGGCTTTTAGCGTGGTGATTCACGGTGACTTACATTGTCTGTTTCTCTCTGTTGCAGATCTGCCTACGTATCCTTTGGAGGATTACTGATGAGGTTACAGGGTGACGCAAACAACCTACACGGTTTTGAGATCGACCAGCATATGTATCTACTAATGAAAAAATTGGCGTTCTAACTGCATTACATGCGCCGCAATTATTGATTTAGGAAATGTGTGTATATTAAATGCATTCTTTTCAAGGAGAACGTTATTATTAATAAATTTAGGAGAAAGGTGATTGAATTGTTAGAAGTTATTAATGGTCGATATGATTCCAGAAAGAAATTTCTTGTATATTGCAATAATTGAGGAAGCAGTATATTTACGTAAAACAGGAAATATGTATTTTGTTTTCTAACTGATCGTTCACTATTCATATTCTCCAATTCATGAATCATTACTAAGCATTGTCACTGCCATTGCGATTTTCAGATACATGCTGACTAATAAAGGTATTTTTCCATGTAAAAAATAACCTTCTAAATAAAAACTCCCAACCTATCCAATTATTCTTATTAAAAGGTACCATAAAAATTACCAGAATTAAACAGTTGTTAAATAAAATGATTACTAACTGTTGATTAAATTCTTGGAAAACAAACAAAACATGACAATTTTCAGGCGAGTTTGTAGTAGCTTTACAACGCTGCGATTGGCCAGCTAAGTTAGTACATATTTAAATAAACTGCTTTGCTCCTTGTTACCAGTTGAATTAATTACAGGCAGTTCTTGTAATTAAACTATAAAGACCAGTAATTCCGCATTCTTTTAATTGCGAGCAACTGATTCAATGAAGTAAAATATTTTTGCTCACTCCTGTCTTTTATAAAAGTAACCATTAAAAGACAATATTTAGTTCATAACATAAAATTTTCATTAAATTCATCAAGTCTTAAAAAAATAAAAGAGATTTGTAGGAGAAAAATCTATGTCTTGTTTTTTGTGATACTGCGCGTACAGGACGACGCCATTTTGGAGAACAACGGAGCCAAGACTAAATGCGTGATCCAATCGAAACGCGCGCAGCTTCTGTGAACACGAGAGCAAGAAACGAAAAGAATGTATCACAGAGACATGTTGCAGAAGGGGGAATAGCCAAGAACTAATTTATGTAATTAAACTCGCGGTATTCCTGACCTTGTATGGCTGAATGTGAGCTGACCGAGGCTGGCTCGAACAATGTAGCATAAGTACCACTTGGCGTGGATACGTCTCGCGCCTCAACATGGCGGTCTGATGTTGCATAACATATCGCACTATAAGATGGCTGCCACTTAATAAGGGTTTGATTCTAAATAGATTGGCCCGATGACATATAATTCGCTTTTATCTGGTCGTCCGTACCGCGAAGTTGCGCAACGCGTGCACATGTATACGGAGACAAAAATCGATATTTAACGAACCACAAGTGTCGCCATCGTGATGAAAATTTCCTTCACAGTCGGTAATTTAGATTCTTAGATAACCAAGAATTCCAAACAATTTAATTTGAATTTAATGAAAAATTTTGTAGAATATTAATTTTTATTTTATTCATTTTATTTCGACATATTATATAAACTAAGAAAATTGATGTTTATTTACAGTTTTATCTCATTTCTATTGCAATAGTGAACGTTTCACACTGAATAATATTAAATAACATAACATAAATATTTTATTTCTTTATTATTAATTAGAACATGAATTTATACTTTTTCTTAGAAAGTATTAAGTTTTGTGGTGATAATTACCCTCAAACATTGATCAAACGCAGTGCAAACAGCCAAACCCTGTTTGTCTGGACTCCAATCTAGGGAACTAACAGGTTGTGATGAAACAATAGTGTTTTGTAAAAGAGTTAGATCACCGATGACTCCACGGCCAATGCCATCTACGTCTACTATTTTTCGTTTCTCTGGATAATTACTAAAAATAATTCAATAGTAAATAAAAGTATAAAAAGCTAAAAATAAAAATAGATATAAAATGTATAATTACTATTTCCATAAACAAAGACTTCCTCCTCCACCACAAGTAACAAATATTTCACGATTTTGGGGCAAGTGTCTAACTAACCATACTGTTGCATTATGTGCCTAAAACATTATAAATCAAATTAAATGAAGATGTGATTTTTACATTTTAATCTTACCTTCTCAGTTAGATAAGTAAATCCTTTTTTAGGATGCTGAGTTTTTAAATCAAACAAATAAAACTTTGACTCCAAAGTGGTAGCTACTAATTTATTCATTGGAATATCCTTCCTATCAAATTCAATGCTACAAACTCCATTTTTAAGATTACTTTCCCACAAAACAGCCATTGCTTTCAAATCAAACATTTTTACATCTCCATTATCATAACCAGCAGCTACAACTCGTTCCTCAGAATTGTATGAATTTCCAAATGCAACTGTCCAGCAATCTCTACGATCTTCACCCTCTTTAGGTTCCATTACAGCAACTGGCCGACCTTTCAACCTAGGATCCCAGACTTTAACACTTCCATCCCTAGAGCCAGTTACTAATTCCGGTGCGCCGCATCCAATATTCTGACCAGCTACACCATCGATACTGTTTATAATCTCATCATGAGCAACAGTAGTATAAATTGGTATCGAAGGGTCTTCTAGGTTGTAGATGTTCAATTTGCCCTAATAAAGGTGACTTTAAATCTTCTCTATGTAGGAATAACAAATTGTTAAAATTTAAATCTTATGTATAATATCATTCATTCAAATGGAAATATCTTTTAAATTTTTTATATTTTTTGTTAATACCTGAAAATCACCAGTTGCTAAATATCTGTCTTTTAGGCTAGATGCTTTAAAGGTTCCGCATTTTATCGGTTGAGATCGTTCGATATCTTTAACAAGATTTAATTCGCCGCTGGAAACTTCATAGATTTGTATAATACCGCTACCTCGCGGTCGTGAGCCCATAACCACAAATTTTGCGCTGCACGGAATCCATTTTGCGTCGAATAAGGAATAATTTACCGATTTCTCAATATGACAAATTATCTGCGGTTTCTCAAATTTATCCATGCTTTCGAAGTTGACTATACAACAAGACTACTTGGTTCTTAGCTAAAATTTGTGAAACTGTGACAGCACTTATTTTGACGTATCGGAAGTATTTGAAGTATCCATAAACAGAGATCAATAGGAAGCAGGAAATAGGAAGTAGTGAGTACGGAGTAGGGAGATGGTTGATGCAATGTCAAAAATGTTGGTCAAAAAATGCACTAGGAATAGGGACCTCTAGTGGCCAATGGCCGAACTATAAACACGTATCTTCTCCGTTCTCATGGTGGGAGAAATAAACGTATACACAGTGAGAAGGGAAGTATTTCAGTTATTAATGAATAAGATTTTGCTAAAAAGAGATTTTTAATTATCATATTCCTTTAAATTTTTAACTTCATTAATATCAATAACATCCTTTTCGAAAAAATATAAAAATTGTCTGAAAGTTTAATTAAATATCAAAAATAAATTGTTTCTTCTGTATTGTTTATAGAAATACAATAAAAAAATGAGATTATTTACTGTAAAAATAATTAAACAAAATGTATTTAGAAAAACTTTCAATAAACCAGAATAGTTTAACAGCATTTAACACTTTTGTAATATATTCCATTCACTACCTAATCTCACAAAAATTCAGACAAGAAATTAAAAAATGAAATCATAAAACGTTAAACTCAAAATTTACAGAAAAAAGGTATATAAAAAAAGTGCGAAATAGTTTTAAAAAATTCCGAGAAATGACGTCACTTTCAAGAATGGTGAATTTGTGCCATATTCTATGCTCTCATGTTCTCCTGACACAAAATCACAAAATCGATCTAAAGTTTTGATCAAAATCTCGAAAATTTCAGCTATATCCCGTAGTGCCTAGTACAAACACATAATTATTTATTTATTTACATAAATGGGTTTGCTTTCTTTTTCCTTTGTATAAACGTGTGGTGACGCCAAGTACAATTTTTCGTATATAAGTATATGTGATATATGTATATATCAAACATATGTAAGCATAAATACATAAAATATAAGTGTAAAATATAAAAAGTATAAAATTGTAGAGATTTACGTGTAGAGGATGGTTGTTACGTGAAGATTAAAGGACAAGATTGCTCGATGTTGGAACCGTCGAATATATTTAGAATAATAAATTAATGTACAACCTGTATACGTGAGTCGTTAGTACAAAGTATAAATCGCAAAATAAAATCGCGGATAAACACTCGTTAATGCTCGTCGCGCAACTCGGTAGACACTGTTAGATACTCGGTCTGCTTGCGATCGTGACCGTTTATTTATACTGGTCGGGGGGAAGTCGGAAAATATGAATTCGTCTTCATTCGACGGTTGTATGTAGCGGCGACATTCTTTTGCCCGAAGTCTATTTGTTCTTACATTACTTGTATCCTAACGATCTTGATACTCCAAGGCAAGACAACAACATGATCTGAATTGTCCTTTGACTCATGTGCCGCTACAAAACTATAAGTAAACATAAGTGGAATATAAATAATTTAGACATCTAACACGCCTTGAGAAGCCTTAGATAAGTTTGAAAATTGATATGGATCAAGCAAGATAAGATAATCTATAGATTAAACCATTATGTTTGAATTGACATATATATGGTGAAAGTGTGAACTTACAAGGGTGCCTGGTTCTTCTCTCAGGAGCATAGATGTTAATGCTCTTAAGAATTTTAAGACAGTGGATCTGTTTATTGAATATCATGATTGTAAATTAGATCTGACTTTTGACATTGACCTCCCGTCGTGCATACGCATGTCTCGCACCAGGAGCATCGAATGAAGAAATGTTGGGCCATTTGAACGCTAGAGGCGGTGTTTTGTGAGGAATACTTTTGGCTGAATTTATATCATACTCACAATTCATCCAGGTCTGTTCCAGCTGTAAGGTCATCAGAATTTATTTGTCTCCAATAGTTGTTTGTTTTTTCAACAATGAATTCTACCAGTTCTTCAGATACAAACAACTGGAAGTATTGCAGAAATCCCCAGGATCTTATATTTGTTTGAATACCCGATTGCTGTTTTGTAAAATCATGAATTATTAGCCTAAATTTTTTCGAAGTCCATGTAATATCTGACTGGTTGGTATTTCGTACGTTAACGTTATCAGTTTCTTGAGATTCTGATGTACTAAGTACATTTAATAGTCGTTTTCTTTGATTTGCTGTATTTATATGTGATTCATTTTCATCACAACTTTCCGAAGCAGTCTAGTTCACCAGTTGCCGTTTTTTTAGATTTTTATACTTCATTTTAAAGAGTACCGAAACCTACATCACTTATTAATATTTGAAACGGATAGGAGGAATTAAAGATCCTCTGGACGTAACAACTTAATAACCTGGTTTACTTATTTTTCTGTATGTAATGTTATTAATTACCTTTTAACTGTGATACTCTACAAAAAGATAGAAAACAAATAAACTTTACTCGTTGCAGGAACTTCTTCTTATGCGCTAGTTTAACATAATTAAGATGTCAATTCGCGTGTCCTTACTGTCACTGGCCAATACGACGCGTTTAGTGAATGCGGGCTATATCCGGCGTAAGTCGATGTGAAGTATTTTGTGAATGCCGGATATAATCGGCGCTAGGCGTGAAAGAGTTAAAAATGAAAAATTTTAAAATGTTACGTGGAATTCAAAGATTTTTATTATTTCGTGAACATTCTATAAAACATTGTATATATAAACATATGCTCGGGAAATATATAAAATTTAATTCAATATTATATAAAATATTATATTTTCATATTTAGTTCAATTACATTCCTATTAAGAACAATTACTCATTCATCAGCTTCAGTGTCTTCATCTTCTGCTACATCGATAGCATTAGGAGCATTTAACTTTTTCGTAAAAAGCTCGACATATCTTACTAACCGTTTATCAGAAACTATCTGTAAAAGATATAAACGTTTATATAAATTTGTAATATATAATTAACAATTGTTTGTATGTAAAATATTTACCATTTCCATCACTTTATCGATAGCTTCCTGTAAGTTTTTTTTAGACGTGTTATCGTCCAATTCCAAATGCAAATCTTTCAACGATTTAATAAGAGTTTCTTTGTCAATGTTGCTTTCTGTATTTAATACCTCTGCCAAAATAGAAAAAACGAGGCTATTATGCGCACAGAAATTCTCTCCTCCAGGTTTACGAGTTTCAAGCCTAGTCAAGTTTAATATAAACCTGGATACTTCATAAGGATCAATTTCTTGTAAGGGACTGATGTCTGGTGCATTACATAAAATTTGTAAGGTCGGCAAGTATGCTTCTTCTAATAACATGTGTGCATCAGGTACGAATGTGACAAAATTATCGAAGAAACCAGTTAGACATTGTCGAAGATAGAAGTCGCTATCGTTTACAGGATTGTAACATAAAATTATTAATCTTGACAATAAACTCGAACTAGTAATTCGTCGATGAAGTAACAATTTGCAAAGACCTTCCGCGGCAACTGTTCTTAGTCCTTGATTCTATATTTTTAACAAAAAGATTTTCATATTATATATTTAAAATAAAAGAATATTAGACTAGAATATATACTCACTGCATTATCTAATAATCCGGCTATAATTTTAATAAAATTACAATTGCCTCGTTCTGCTTCTGATTTACGTAGAGATGTTACAGAAACTTCTGTGTCAGTATCTGTAAATAATTTAGTGCGAGATTTTTCTGATTTACTACCAGTATTATCGGGTACATTTTCTAATATATCAAAATGCTCCAGGCCGTATAATAATAAAAGGTCGAAGATTCCTTTCAAAGCAACAATCCAAATATCTGGATTTTCTTGTTCCAAAGAAAATTGCAAGAACAACATCATAATATGTTGTTTAGCTAATTCCCTGTCCAATATACAACAAATACTAACTGCTTTTAATGCTAATATATGTACTTTATCATCCGGATGCTGAAAACAATAATTACGTTATACATAATAATTTAAGATTAAATAAATTTATATTTCAATCACATACATCTAAACTATCAAGCGCTATTTGCATAAGGCTTTTAAGTGTTGGCGTTAACGAAGTTACAGACTGCATCATTGTACATATTATAGTTAGACATTTTATCATTGTTGCAGAATCACTCTTTTCTTTGATCTCTTCATTAACTATAGTTTGTGTTACTTGAGGCTTTTCTGATAATTTTACTATTTCCTTGTTCAATTCGTTTATTTGATTTTTTAAACCATCTGCCTTTAAATACTGTTTGTCTTGTATAGCCTGATATTCTTCTTCTTTTAATTCTAATAACTTTACCTTAAGTTTTGCTCTCTAAAAAGTACTTTTCATTAAGATAAATGGTACTACAAATTTTACCAAATTTGAATTTTTTAATGTTATATTTAATATTATATTGAGAATACCAACTTACTTTTAAGTTAATCTCGTGTTGCTGTTCCTCCGTGATTTGTGTTTGTGTTATAGTTTCTTTCAAAGGCAATCTAATTTCACTGATTATATTAGCTAATGTATCTAGTCTGCTATTTACATCGGGTATAACGTTTTTTAGGTGTGTTACTGCACATTCAACAAGTTTTTCAGTCCAGTAATTACCCATTAAAATATTACGTATTAATTCGTTCAACTTTTTTCTTCCAACTTCATCAGATAAATCATAAGTTGTTACTATTTCAAATAACTGTAATAGGACAAATTTCTGCATATGATTCACCCATGTTTCGGTTTGTTGTGTGGATATTGCTGTAAGGAAATCGGAAATATAATTGCAGAACATTGATAATTCTGGTAAAATTGTTTCCAATTCTTCTGTACAAGATTCACGTTGAACATATTTTACTAAGCATCTCCAATACAGTACAGTTTCACTGCTCAATTTATTCATTGGTATTAATTTAGTCTCTTTATCTATTGGTAATTGTTCTATTAATGTATTTAATGTAGTGTTCCTAATTAAATAAAGATTAACCATTTAGTATTTCAAACAAATGTTCAATTGCACATATATATGATAAATTAAATACTTACTTAAATAAAGAATCAAGGGCTAAAACAGATACATCTGTACCAATTTCAGCATCAAGAGCTGTTATTAAACTGATGAATTTACCATTAAAATGTCTTAACCATGATGGTAATAGAACATTTTGAACAGTTCTTTTAATTATATCAGATCTATCTTTTAAACCATCATTTAGCAGCTGATCTCTTTGTGTAATAGTTAAAGATCTTACTGTTACTTTACTAATGAATTCATATGCCATTTTACGAACTGCCTCATCTACATCTCTGGTTCTTCTCAATGCAACTTGTAAAGTACTTTGATTCTTTCCCATGCTCATCAATGCTGCTTTACGAACCATAGCATTTGGATCTTTGCTGGCATGAAATATATACATTTTTATAACAGGGCATTGCTCATCTGTAGGATCTTGAAGTCTATGTAAAGCAAAAATTGCCTGAGCTCTAACTTTTGGCGATCTATCTAACAACCGATCCATCATAGAAGCAGTAATTTTATCACAGACAGCATCATCAATAAAGGCCTGATCACCCATAGAATTTAATAACATATTCAAAAAATGACAAACACGAAATCTTACTCCTATGTCTTTTGCACTATGATTCCTTAGGAGAAATTCAAACAGGTTGGAAAGAAATGGACACATCGGTTCCTCAGATTCATTATCATTTATGGCTGAATATAAACTAGCGGCAAATTTAGCAACAAACTCCAGAGTATTCTCAACTCGTGGATGTCGCTGTGCAAAAGTAAGTGGAACTTTAAAACAGGATATAAAGCAGTTCCAAAAATCTGATTCATTAGTCTAAAATCGAAAAAGGAAATGTTAGTAATTTTGCACACTGTATGTAAAACATTTTTATTGAAACTTTTTTAAATAAAAATAAATTATAATGAATTCGTCTGTATTACAACCTATTCTTACCTGTTCGTAGCATTTCTTCAATTTTTTTAAATTACTCTGATGACAAGTTTTATTAAATTGAACACTATGAAATATTTCTTTTATATAATTATTTGTATTTCGTTTCATACTTATAAAATAATACGATTACGACCTGAAATATAAAAATGTGTGAGAAAACGACATAAGAAACAAAAACGTTACAAATTCAAATATATTTTCCTTATTGGTTGAAATGTTCACATCCATCTTACATCTACGAATCAGAGATCGCATGACAAGGATAATGAAATGATTGCATTGAAACTGAGTAAGATAGAACAATAACAATACTCGACTTTAGAAGCATTGACGTAAGCATGGATTTAGATATCAATCTAAACATATGATCTTAACCTACATATTCAGGGAAATAATGTTTAATATGCATAGCTTGGCAAGATTATCTGATGAAAGTGAGCCAAAATACAATATCATATTGAATGTTTTTGTACAAAGTTTTATTTAAGAAGATTTCATGTTCGTGATAAATCTTGGAATACATACATATCGTATGTATTACTAGGTATCACCATATATTAGGTATTTCCCAAGGATGAAAATTCTATGGAAATTCTGTCGGCATCCTACGACTATGTTTGACCTTTTGTCAAGAAGGTGAGAGTTAGATGGAGTGAGCGGAGGATGTTTATAAACATAACCTCAAATTATTTATATCATCTTTTCGGTACAACAAATAAATTATAATTTTATAATTCATAAAAATATTAAAATCCTGTATTGATCTAATAATATATATATATTATATTATAGTTTTAATTATTTCATATTTGAAATCAAAGGAACATATATTACATAAATAATACTGCTTTTCATATCACATCTTTATTATTAAAAATTGGTATTTATTAGCTTTTATCTTTTAGATTATATATGTGTATTATTATATGATACGTTATACGTGTATGTTGATCAAATTTTGCTTTTAATAGTGTTTTCTCCAATAAAGTGAAAAAATTAGTGAAATAGTGTATTCTGCTGATATTGGATAGATATAAAAGTAAAAAAGATGGATGTAGAAGCTAATAAGCAACAGGTAATTTTTTTCTAAAGTTAATTTATTTTTTAATAAATTCTTTAAAAAATTTATAAATTATTTAAATAATTTTTTACTTCACAGCTAGAATTTGTATTGCCACCCATTTGGACTGATATTAGAACTGAATTAAGGGAACATATAGAATGTTTAGATAATCTTCCAATGTACCATCTAAACAGTACACAATGTTACTGGCCAAGGAAACCTGATATTTTATCTCTTTTGGATTGTGACTTAGCACCACTTGGTACCACATTAAAATTTGATCGTGATCCTGTTACTGGGAAACTTGGGGAGATGCATGAGGTACCTTCAAAATCAGCAGGTGAAACTGCACGAAATTCTATGTCTATGACTCGTGCACCAGGTCCAGCTAGTGATAATATCAGAGGTATGTGATAGAAAAGATTCCATAATAAAATATAGCAATTTTTTGAAACATTATGTAAATTAATAACATGTACAAATTTAGGAAATACTAGTAATATTCCATTCTGGCCTGGTGGTTTTGATGAACCTGAGATAATAATGAATCCGTCACTGGAGGAAATAGACTTTGAAAACAATTTAAGAACCTTGGCAAAAGGATTTAGTGCAGGCGTAGAATTTAAAAGTGACAATTGTACTCCAAAAGAAAAGACGACAACTGTCACAGAGCAGGAACCATTAGAATTAGAAAAAAAAAATGAAATTGAAAAAATAGCAGATAAGATCAATTTAATGGCCATTATAAAGGAAGAACAAGATGAATTTGATTTTTGGAAGTCAGAAACAAAAGAAACAAAAGAAACAAAAGAAGAAACTAAAATAAAAACTTCAGATATAGAACAAGCAGCATTTGATGAAATTTCTTCGTTCTTAGAGGAAGCAGATATTCCTATTTTAAATATTTCAAAAAAACCTGTGGAAACTGCAAAGACAAAATGGGCAGAACAAATAGATGTGTCTGTTCCAATAACTGATTTCGAAAAACGTATTCCTGAACTAGCGATGAGTTTTCCATATGAGTTAGATACTTTCCAGAAACAAGCTATTCTTAAATTAGAAGAAGGCTGTAATGTATTTGTGGCCGCACACACGTCGGCTGGGAAAACAACAGTAGCAGAATATGCTATTGCATTAAGTCAGAAACATATGACAAAGTAAAATTGCAAATTATATTTTGAACTATATTTTAGTTAATTAGCAATACTAATTTTGTTTCTTTTTAGAGTTATTTATACATCTCCCATAAAAGCGCTTTCAAACCAAAAATATCGCGATCTTAAACGAAAGTTTGGCAGTGTAGGATTGTTAACAGGAGATTTACAAATTAATCCCAATGCTTCGTGTCTTATTATAACCACGGAAATTTTACAATCTATGTTATACTGTGCATCAGAAGTTTTAAGGGATTTAGAATTTGTTATATTTGACGAAGTGCACTACATCAATAACGACGAAGTAAATAAAAATTCCAAATGTTACAGTTATATTATATTTATATTATATATTATTATATATTATATTTATATTATATATTATTATATATTATATTTATATTATTCTATATAAATATTACAATTTATATTTAATATTTATAATCATGATATATCTTATTATCTTATGTTATGTTAGCGTGGTCATGTTTGGGAAGAAAGTGTGATCCTTTTGCCACAAACAGTTACTCTAGTAATGTTGTCTGCAACTGTGCCCAATCCTTTAATATTTGCTGATTGGGTTGGTCGTACAAAAAAGAAAAAGACATATGTAATAAGCACATTAAAACGACCTGTACCGCTCCAACATTATTTATACACTGGAACTGATGGTAAAACTAAGGACAACAAATTTTTAGTATTGGATGAAAGTGGTCATTTTCTATTAGATGGGTAATCGATGATAATTTCTATCTTTAATGTAGTGTATAAATTTTTAATGAATAATCTTATATTTAATATAAATATTATTATTCTAGGTGGTACAAAGCAACAACTGCGCAAAATCCGAAAAATCAAAGTAATAAAAATGCTAAAGATGTTAAAAGGATACCAACGCAACGACAGATGACTCCAAAACAGGAACAAGTATTGTGGAATGCTTTTATAAGTCATTTAAGAACTCAGGTTGGATTAATACTTATATATTGATCAAATTTTACTTATTCATCTAAACATACATAAACAATTACTTTTGTTATGCCAGAACATGTTGCCTGTTGTTGTCTTTATGTTATCACGAAAGAGATGTGATATGAGCGCTATATTATTAAGAAACGTAGACCTTACAACCGAGACTGAAAAGCACACTATTCGAACTTTCTTTCAAAATAACATTCGGCATTTAAAAGGTACTGATAGACAATTGCCGCAAGTGCTTATGATGCAAGAATTATTAGAAAGTGGAATTGGTATCCATCACAGTGGTATATTACCTATTTTGAAAGAAATAGTGGAAATGTTATTTCAAACTGGAGTTGTAAAAGTCAGTTTTCCAATATTCTATATTTTCTTCCTTAATTTCATAATGCTTTTACTATTTTTAAATTTTAAAAGTCACCACCTTTATGGTCTTGCAGTTACTATTTGCAACAGAAACATTTGCAATGGGTGTAAATATGCCAGCACGCACTGTGGTTTTCGATTCTATAAAAAAATATGACGGTACTAATTTTCGAATACTTTATCCTTCTGAATATGTACAAATGGCTGGCCGAGCTGGACGTAGAGGTCATGATACAGCTGGAATGGTTATAGTCATGTGTCGAACATTGGTGCCACATTTTAATGAGTTACAAAATATGATGTGTGGTCAAGCTCAGAACTTAGAATCTAAATTTAAAGTAACATATTCCATGGTTCTAAATCTGAGAAGGCTAAATGAGTCAGTAACAGTTGAAGCAATGATGCGAAGATCTTTTAAAGAATCACCAGTAATTAGAAACCAAAATAATTACAAGATACAATTGCAGAAATTGGAAAATGAACTATCAAAATTGCCACCATTAACAGATCTACAGAAAAACTTATCTGACTTTTATCGACTAGCTGTTGAGTATCTAGAATATCTTAAGTATCTGAAATCCTATTTTTATGAGACTCAGAAAAAAGCAATAAGATGTTTAACAGCTGGTAGAGTATTGTTGATATCATATGAAAGTCATTATAATAAATTAGCTATATTACTGAGCACTGTTCAGAATAAAGGCAGTAAACAATACAGGGTATTAGTCCTTAAAAATTCTGATGCAACAAATTCTGTCAAGGAAACATTATTGAAAGAAAAGAGCGAGAAAGCTAAGAAATCCGATAAATGGTACGATATTGTTGCTTTAACGAAAAAGGAAATATTTGTACCAGTTGGAATTCCATTAGATGAAGTGTTAACTATAGCTGCATGGAATATATTGGAAATAACAAATTGTGAAATTAAAACAGATTACAACATGGTTTTGGCAAATTGGGAAAAAAGACAAATATCAAGATTTAGGTAAGTAGCGTGAAGTTAAAATTAAGCGAAATTAGATTACGTTTAATTTATAACTTATAAGACAACAAAACTCCTGAAATATTTTTAGAAATGAGCCTCCCAGTCAGACTATGCAAACAGCTATAGAAGAATTAATGACATTATCTCTTAAAGCTTATCGCGATTCTTCTGTTCTACAACCATATCTGCAAATGAGAATGAACTATGATATCGATATGAAATTAAATCATTTATGCGAATTAGAGAAAGCTATGTATGATATTAATTGTACAGAGATAGTAAGTTTTGAAGAGCACTTTGAAGTTGTATACGAACGAAGTGAATTAGAGAGCGAAAGGAATAAACTACAATTGAAACTTAGTGATGAAGGATTAAGCTTGTATCCGGAATATACAAATGCTGTTGCACTTCTTAAAGATTTGGGATATATAGATAATGACGAAAGAGGTTTGTCTTCTTTTAGATTATCAACACGAATTAGTTATGTATAATAATTTTATCTTGTTTTTTATAGTTGCATTAAAAGGTCGTGTAGCTTTACAAATGGGGAATAACGAATTACTAATTACCGAACTCATTCTCAGAAATGTGTTAACTGTACGTCAACCAGCTGAAATAGCAGCATTGTTGTCTGCTTTAATATTTCAACAACGAACTGATATTGAACCAAATTTAACGCCAGAATTAAGAAAGGTATATATATTTTCTTAATACAAATTAACTACTTACTGTGATATTTAAAGATTTTTTGGTTACAGAATTGTCTTATAATAAAGCAAATACATGCCGAATTAGAAGCTTTAGAACAACATTATCAGTTAGTAACGTTGCAACCACTAAACTTTGGTTTAGTAGAGGTAGTTTATGACTGGGCACAAGCAAAGTCATTTGCCGAGATTATGGAGAAAACGGATGTACAAGAAGGGATCATAGTACGATGTATACAACAACTGAGTGAAACATTACGAGATGTAAAAAATGCAGCCATTACTATAGGTGATCCCGTTTTAAAGGAAAAAATGGAAGAAGCCTCTACTGTCATTAAAAGGGATATTGTTTTTACTGCATCCTTGTATACTCAAAATTAATCGTTTAACAAATCTATGTATAATAATTTATTTAAATGTGTAAATGTGCAGAATATTTTCTACTTTGATCAATGAGATATATGTATATTTTTATAATTTATACACCGTTTATGAATCATATGCTGTTCAAAAAATGTACAGTACAATATTTCTCTACCATAGATGTAAAGTACTGGAATTTAGTTTGGTCTGAAAATTATATTTCTTTATGTATAGATATATGATAAGAGTACAAAGTAAATGAATAAAATTGTTGTTAATATTGAATAATTCTTTTAATTTACAATGCTTATTAGTAAAAAATATTATCCTATATTTTATTTTCAGATATTATAGTGCACGTTGTTCCGTGTTATTAAGATTTCCTTGACCTTTATTTGTCTCAGAAATACAGGTCCATTGACCTTCTGTATTTTCACGCCAAAGGGACACTTTATTATCTCCACCACTAACAGCTAATATACCTCCAGTTAATGACCAACTAACATTCCAAATGACATCGTCGAAAACATTAAGGATGGTTGGTGTCCAACTTGTATAATCATTGGAGGTCCATACAATTACACGACGATCTTGTGAACAGGAAGCCAAAGCTGCTTTGGATGGTCCAACTGCAGGTGCCCATGCAACATCCCTTATCTGTAAGAAATAAAATATTAAATTACTGTTCTTTTAATTTACATTTCTAAATTTGAAAAGTGACAAATGCATTACCCAATCACTATGTGCTTCAAGTTTGTCTTCTTCGATCCATCTATCACCTTCTTCTTTCCAAATTTTAACTAAATTGTCACAACCTCCTGTGGCTAATCTCTTTATTGGTCCATTTTTTTGTGTTCCACTAGCATCAAAGCTGGGTTCAATAGCAGGACACCAACTCACTGCATTGCATCCAATGGTATGGGCATTTGTAATTTTTTGTGTATCCCATGTATCTCCATTATTAATAAGTATGGACACTGAACCATCAGAGCTGCCACAGGCTAAGATTAAGCCAAATTCATGTGGTGCCCAAGCCACTGAGTTAACAGAGGAATCATGACCATTGTGTTCATAAATCTTGGTCCATTCTCCTAATTCTTTCCAAATAATTACTTTTCTATTGCAAGAAACAACGTAAAATAATTTCAGATCAGAATAGTTAGTTTTAATATATTACAATCTCTATGAAAAGGAATATATTTTATATATATCAAAAAATGGCAACAAATTGAAACATACCGATCGTAGCTACAAGACGCTAAAAGATTTCCAAATTTAGGATGTGCCCAAGTAACTTGCCACACAGGTCCAACATGACCCTTAAGATCGGCTACTAAACTTTGTGAACCATTTTTTAAATCAAAGATTTTAACCGAGTTATCACTGGAACAAGTTGCTAACCTCAAACCATAATAATCCATCTCTGCATCGTGAATCATATCTTCATGACCGGTATCAACCGTATTCAAAACTGATACCATTTTTATGACACTTTTTGCTCAAATTTTGTTAACTATATTTTGAAAATTATTAAGTTATACAATTGTAGGAGCGACAAAGAGGTTATGTTGTCCTAGCTGTTCAATGCTTGTCACTTACGTGGAAGCATGTGCGCACTGGCTGTTAACGCATGATTACTTTGCGCAACTCGTGTGTAAATATTAGTGCCGTTATGTCTAAAAACTGAATATAAATTCTTTTTTGTGATTTTGTCAAAATTATGAGGAATATAAATATTTGTTGTACCCTTATTATAAACTAAGCACTACGACTTTATACATAAGGACTAATAACCTTTTTTACGTGGTATGTAGTAAAGTTTTTTTATTTATTTAATTTCTTATATCAAATTGGAATTAAATTTTATTCTTATTGATTTACTATAATAACATATAATAATTTACACATTTTCACAATATCATACATCTTAAATTTATGCTTAAATATTAACATTCATAAATCATATTCTATATTTCCAAAAACCAGAGCAGAATCATATTTAGAATAAAATGATCTAAACATGATCTAACAGTGATCATGGTGCATAAGCGTGATAAAACTCGTAATTGAGTTTGTAATTGAGTTTGATCATGTACAAATATTTAACCTGTCACTAAAGAAAACAAAGTATAAATTCATCATTCGTAAAATACGCTGCTGGATAATGGAATCGCTTTATGTTCATTTTTTCATTCATCCTTTAATTGGTAAAGGCTTTTAAATTCGTTCGTTTTTGTTCTGTTAATGAAATGTTATATTATACTACATATACTTTAGAAAAGCTTTAAAATTAGAAAAATTTAAATAAAATAAAATGAGAAAGAATTTTAGTTACATATAATATTTAGTCATAATATTGAGAACTTTTTAACAGATAAACTAACAAGTTAATTTGTTATAACGATGTTTCATTTTTATTAATAATTAATATAGAAATCCCATTTAATTTTATTAAAATTTATCCGAAATTATACATACAGTAAGATATTTATAATATAGTTACATTAATAGAATATAAATGAGATAGACGACAGGAATTGATAGGTAACATAATAATCTGGTCATTATTCGATTGATTTAATCTAAATCCATTACGGGTTAATTGACGAATATTTTCACTCTAATTACTATCTCATCTTAATATAAATTATAACGATTTGATGTTCAATTTCACGGATATTTGAGCGACATCCATCATTAATTTATCCCAACATTAACCGTCACAGCGTTACCGGAAAAACACAACTCAGAACACATGCTTACTGTGTGTAACGTCCTTACGTACAGAAATGTCATTAGTTCATCATAATTCACGAAACTGCGGTGCAACATAACATGGTATACGTTCGTGCAAGCTTGTCCCTTCCGGCATGCCGATAATGACAAGGCTCCTGGCGTTGCGTTGATAAGATGGATAATTGATATATGTTTCCCGAGAACACACGTACATATGTATATATACATGTGCACTTTCTTGATCCTATATACGTACATATAAGTGCAGATATATACACGTATGTAACGTTGCGGGGTACTATAAAATTTTCAATATGCTGCACGGTCGAGTAACAATTACTGTTACCGCTAATTACGTTTACTCGCATAGGAGGTAATGAAATCACGGCTGGAATTGTTTATTGATCGGGTAGTAGGCATCGCGTGGATCCGCTGTTGAATTTATGTAGAATAACCAATGGAAGCAGAATGATCAATAAAACGAATTCGATACTTCCATTTTCTTATGTTGATCTTTCGCGCTCCAGTAACTTCCATTCGTACATATAGTAGCTCAGGAAAGCATTTGAACACTTAACATAGCAAACTTTTATGTATATATTGTATACGTTATATGTATAAAACATTTTGAAATTTTATTAGTACTGTAATGAGATACGATTATCATGATCATATTGGTCTTTGAAACCAATCTAAAATGTATGTAGTAATTAGAGGATATTTACTCTAAATATATATTTAGTAAAAAATTATTCACTTTAAACAATAAATGGAAGTATTTCTATGATTTCTGCAAAATATGAGTTATAGCTTGTAGCACAGGCTTGGAGATAGCCCAGATACAGAGATACAGAGTAGTCTACTAAATATCTTGTAGTTTCTATGTACGTTTTTAGACTTGTTCCAAACTTCAACATTATAATCATGATAGTAAGTTCTCATTATGGTACTAATAACATTTTTTGCGTAACACACATAATATATGTTCGAATATTTTCATAAACCTTTGTACGTATGTCTGACGAAGAGAATATAGCCATAGACGAAGTGTACAATAGATCTATCACACACAATACGTTTTTCTGTCCCACGTGACTATGGACCCCACTTATTATTTTGGTGTGATTTGCAATGTAATCATGCAACAAAGAAGTTGCAATTAAAATTGAACATTATGAAATTACAAGTAAATTCTCAAATTGAAATTGAAATTGAAATTTGAAGTCAAATATTCTGACTCAAATTCTTTCCAAATCAAATTTGTAATATGCTTCATGTGCATTAGAAAATGGGACAGAGACAAAAGTTATAGCAGTTGACATTTGCTAAGAAAACTTTCGAAATAATTTAACAAATCTAATGATATTAATTTCCAAGTTATTTCCCAAGTTATGTATTTTCAAAACTATCTTTCATAACTAAGATAATGGTGTTGACATTGAAAGCTAGGGAGAAGGTATTGTATCGGGGTCCTAAAAGTTTGCTACTCGTACCTGGCGCAGGTGTAGCATATACGTATATAAAGCATTCATGAAGTTCGCTTGATTCAACTGAAATTGCACTTATCACTAACATATGTGCATTACGCAGCGTTACCGTGTAACGTGACTTTGTCGCGTTGCTCTTTTCCAACGGTAACGAAACGAATCAACGTTAAAAATAGTGATTATTTATTAAAATTGCATTATTTAAATTTCGCAGGATGCTGGTGAAAATGTAGGTCTCCGCTCTCCGGATTTTTATGGATGGATCGTAAAAGATACATAACGTTGTAACTGTATACAGGCTTTTTAAGAAATGACGCTCGCCAGTCGAGCGAGGTACTTATCATATATGTAGGTATATGCATCAATTTATTTCATTAAAATAATACAACATCTTTTTCTATTTCAGTCGCATAAAAGTGATTAACACTTATTTCTTAAAGAAGTAAGTGAATTATTGAAAAATATAAATAAATAACATACATATTGTTTTACCGAGACACGAAAAATATATTAGGATAATAAGTACTTTGCAGGAGTTTAAGAAATAAAATTATAGAGTCCAAGAGAAGAAAGAAATGACGACAATATTAATCTAATTTTGTCATAATTACAATATTAAAAAACAGAATCTAATAATGTAAATTGACAAGAAAAAAAGAATGAATAAATGAAACGTGAGTCTTTGATCTATAACTTTACATAATTTTTAATATTAGAAATCTACGTAAATTAAAAGTTTCTTTAAAATATCGTATGCTGCTTTGTAATAATTTTCAGAAAGAAAATAGAAGGGAAATCAACGTAGTTAGTAGCCAAGAAAAGATTCGAATGCTTTCGATATATCAATAGCGGTAGACGTAGTTTTCCCAAGGTTCGTTAGCCCAACAACCGAAAAATTTGACCTCGTACTCGAGAGAGTGGCTGGTTCGTACGGAAATTCAGGGCGAAGGTTCCAGAGGTTCCGGTTACGATACCCGCTACAGGTCGTCGCCGTGTATACGTTAGTATCGCGGCAAGATCCGGGCAAAGGAGTATCAGGAAGAATGGAAAGGGGAATGTCGGTCACTGGGCCTTTCCTTGCGATGACGGTACTCCGTTTAGCGCCTCGGGGCCACCTAGGAATGTTGGAATGGCATACAACTTGAAAAGTCTCTCGTCTTTTCTCTCCCTGCTTTCCTTTCTCTCTCCCTCTTCGTACCCTCCTACTTCTCTAAGTTGGTAACATTCGCGTCTGCGTCTGATGCCATGTACATCTGCTTTTGAACACGCCATAAAATAAATTTGATGCACGAAATACAATGTAGATCCGCAGTTGATTGAACATATAGATTATGGATACGTTCTACGTATAGTTTATATTTGGTTCATGATTTATGTATAGGGTCGAAAGTTGCCGTTCGAGGTAGAACTATATAATTAATATTTTGTACTGTTTAGAAATATTTTTGCCCAATATTCGAGGGTAAATGATATTAATTAAACGTTAAATTTCCATTTAAATAACGTTTGATCAAATACCAATCTCTTCTGCCTTTTTATCTTTTTTTCTAAATGTATATCAAAGTACACTCGTTTACTTCTGCATTTCAATATTATCGTGCTTTGACATGCCAAAAAGGGCTAAACACAGAGAAGCTTTTAAATTCCAGCCAGCTTCAAAGCGCCCCCGTTGTAGCTTATTTACCGCTCTCTCCGCAGGTGTTACACTTTTTCGGTAGATTACATAAAAACCAAGAGAGTTGAAGCTCGTATTCAGGTAGCTAGTGCCGCTAAATCTGCAATGGTTTTCCTTCGAATTTCTGCTTTTTGGAGAAACTTCTCGTAGAAAATTCTAAAATGTGTTCCAATCTTTCCAGCGCAACCGGTAACGCGCAGAGGAAGAGAAGAAGTGGTCCGCCAGAGGAAGAGGAAATTCATGGAACGTTTACGCTTGCCAAACAGCGCCGTTTCGTTTGCACGTTTGCAACGATGGGGGCCGGTGAACGAGAGCAATGGACGGTCGTGCGAAACGGCAAAGCTAAACGGCAATGCGAAACGGGCGCGGTTCACTGCATATTTCCATGGCGGTTATAGCCCAGGATATCGCGCGAGTACCGTAAAGGTGAAGAAGCGGGTCGTTGCTGGATCGAATTCCGCGCGTACCAGCTCGAACCACATTAATTTTCAGCGTGCGCGCTAGAATTACACCGGATCCTTTCGGTGAGAAAAATGGAAGGTAAGAAAGATGGGTGGTGCTCAGTTTTACCAGTGCCTATCTCCTCCCTCTCCCGGCTTCTTACCGTGTTGGTTCGCCTCCCTGCGGATGCGGCCGCTGCAACCGCACTTTTTCGTGTCTACAATCTATAGGCAATACTACGTGGAGTACCGTAAAGTTGGAAGGAGCAATACGTTCCAGAATCGAATTCCGGACGTGTCTGTGCGAGCCACATGAATTTTTCCCAAGGTTCCTCCCGCTGAGTATCACACCGACTATTCTTGAAGGAAAAAAAGAACGAAAGAGAAGGAGTCGAGAAGGAAAGGAGCGAAGAAGAAGAAATAGGAAGTATCGAAGTAGGAGAGGCTAAGAGGGACATGGATCCATCGTGATAGACGAAGAGATCGAGTCTTTCGTAGGCAAAGGCCGTTGACTGTGACGCAGTGTAATTCCGGATGGTTTTGGGTCATCTGGTCGATCGATGGCCCGTTTCATCTATTATTGAAATGTAAGCATCGAACGTATCATCATCAAGTTTTACCTTTTCGGTTGATAGAAACAGAACCAAAACGTATGGAACATTTCATGGGAAGTCGGTTGATCTACAGATATTTGCAGCTTGTCTCTGCGTGATAGAGAAACGGTTGGCGTGATCGATATTTTAGACAGGCTGGTATGTTACAGAGTGACAAATCGTTCCAGGAACGTTGTCAGTTGACAGACCATTGTGTCGTGAATAAAGTATTATTTTAAACTTTATTTGTAATAAATGAAGTACGAGGATCATTTAAACAGGAGGTGAGTATTTCGTGCGAAATGTTGCATTAGGGTATAAGCAAAGTTTAAATTTGCCTAAAAGTTTCATGTGGCTATAGTTAAAAATACTAAGTACTTTAGTTTTAGTAGTTTTAATGGAGTAGAATATTTTTAAAAACCACTGTGAATCGATTTAAGCTACAGGGATTACCGACCACCTTATTTCTTTCTCGATACTCTTTGGTGAAAACCGTAAAACACCGATTCCGTTCACAAAGTCGAGAAAAAGTTAACGTTTAGTTAGCTAACTAAATACAGAAAGGAAAACCCAATTAAAAAGTAATTTCACTCGCTATTATAAAACAAATTAGCTTTAACTAAAAAAATCCTTTTACGCTGTAATTTTTGTTTATTAAAGATATTAAATTTCTATTTTAAAAAAACCGCTTAAAAAATCTCATAAAACATATAGAAGACGAAACTATAGACTATTAGCAGTACCAAAAAACTGCAAAAAAGCATTAAATATTTCTCTACGTATCTATTATTTAACCAGATGTTTAATTCAACAAAATTTTTCAGAAATTCATCAGTACTGCATCGGACATTGTTGGCAATCCAACGATTTTGTCGGAATTTTTCGACGAAATTTTCGATGTAAAACGATCGAAGCCAGTAGGATTGGCGTTGCACGTTTCCTGGTGTTACGCCGGTGTCCAGAGACTGGCGTACGTCGACAGGGCCGTAGAATTCTAGAAGGGGGTCATCATACGAGGCCGGCTCCGCCGAACGCACCGAGCCAGGACAGTATACGAACGTCATTCGGCGCGGACTGAGCGGCGAAAGGCGCGTTACCTGTGAGCGGTACCGCAATTTCGAATCGAAGTTTGCTCTCTCGTGTCTGCTTTTCTCTTTACGAACGGGAACGGCTTGCGATTCAGTGCAACGATCATCGTATAAATCTACGCGATATTTGCGATTTCTACGTTGAGCCAGTGCGAGGAAGAAAGAAAAAAGATCACGAGGGAGATCTACGGATTGTTTCACGGAGAACGAAGGATTAATTGGCTGCACGTTTCCACGCGTGTGAATTATAGAAATCGAGGTACGTCTACACGAATTGATTTTTCCACTTCGTTTTTTTTTTTTTTTTTTTTTTTTTTTTCATTCGATTTTCCGTTGCGTTC